AACTGTAAAAAAATTATAAATTAATATACAAAAAAATATTATAATCACTTAATGTTATTAAAGGGAAAAAAATAAAACTGAAATTTATTAGATAATTATTAAATAAAAATGTGACAACAGATTAAAAAATTATAATGGATAAATTTGTCAATAAAATTAACCTATATTTAGCGGTTTAGGTAAAACCGCTAACCGTTACCCCAAAACCGCTATACCAAACGGGACCAAAATCAAGATAGTATTCTAGTGGCAAAAGCTTATTTTGAACCCCTTACCTTATTAAGTTTAAAGGTTTTAGTTTATCACTTTATATTATAATACTTTTAACCTCTCACCTTATATATTATAACACTTTTAGTCATTCACTTTATTAGATTTGTAGATTTTAACCCATCATCTTATACTATGATATTTTTAGTCCCCTACTTATTAAAATTGAAGAAAATAGTCATCACTTTATAATATTCTATTAGTTCTGTTAGCTGACTGTTAATTGACTATTAATTGATAAAAATCTTTTTCAGCTAATAAAATTAACAAAACTAATTTTATAATATTTCGTTAATTATGTTAATTGGTTATTAGTTGACTGTTAGTTGATAAAAATCTACTTTTAACTAATAGAGTTAACAATTAGCATAAAATGAGGGTTATTTTCTTCAATTTTAATAGATGAGAGACTAAAACCTACAAATCTAATAATATAAGAGGCTAAAAGTTTCATAGTATAAGATAAGAGACTAAAACTTTTAAATTTGGTAAGATGAAGGGCTCAAAATAAGTTTATGCCCGTATTGTAGCTGCACAAGGATTTGTAGGCGAATAGATTGGTGCACTTAATATTTTAGTTGGCATTAAAATTTGAATTATGGTAATTTTATAGATATATCATCCTTTCTTTTACTCTTAAAGTATAACTGTTTTAAAAAAAAGATAATATTATAGTGTGGGTTTTTTTAATTACGCGTCTTAAAAATACAATTTAAAAGTATAATTATTATATTTTTATATTAATT